ACGGTGACAGCGAATCGGCTTCTATATAATGCCACTACCTTTGCGGTGTTTCCTTGCAACTGCATTCTCCATCAGCTTTTCTGTTCTCTCCTTCGATCACATCTTTTTGCTCTGGGAAACGTGAGAGGTGAGACGAGGGCGGCAATGACGGCGGGTTTAAGATGGATTCCTCCTCTGCTTCTTCTTCTTCTGGGCTTCCTGCTGGTTTTGAACGGAGGTCGGGGGTGGATTGGAAGCGAGAGGTCCTCTGGCTCGAGGTACATTTCTATCGTTTGTCCCTTTGACATCTCTTTCCTTCTTTCCGTTTCATTTGAAATAAAGATGCAGAAGTTTCAGTCGTTTCTTGTGAAACGTTATGCGGGCTTCTGCCATTTCTATGGAAATGGGAATTTGGGGGGTTTGAGATGGCTTTGATTCTGTTCTGGAGCAGAGCGAGAGCTGAGGTTTTGCCGAGCAAGTGGCGTTGGGCAGAACTAGTTAAGAAGAAGGTTCTCACAGGTTGTTGTACTTCTCGGGCTTCTTGCAGGAATGGCGGAGCATCGCGGAGGAGCTTGAGAGAGGCCTCCGCGAACGCGACCAGCGCCGATGCTTCCTTGGAAGAGAGGTGAGTTCCAAACTCCATGTTCGAGTTTTCCCGGTTCCTACGAGAATCTGGGCCGTTCATCGGACTTCGCTGAGATCGACATCTCTTAGCTTTCCGATCACGCTTTATTTCCTTACGCTTCGCTTTGCTCGTTGCTCTCCTCCACTGCCATTGCTTTCTTGGAAAAGGGTAGGAACAAAAAACCAACCAAATCAAATCTCAAGCCCTTTCTTCGTCCTTTTATACCACCAATGCAGAAGACTCCGGTCAATACCCATCGAAGGATGGGGTGAGTGATGCTGTGATGGGGCCAGAATGTCGTTTCTTGGTAATCAATCGATTCCCTTATTCTCCATGGCTGAACCATGGCGTTTCCCGCTTTGGCACCGTAGATTTCCCTTCCGAGGTATTCTATGGTCAGGTCAGAAGGCAACCGACCGCCGGGATCTGTGCGTCATTCCCGAAAAATTGGAACATCTCGACTTGGGAGACGTGACGTGATTTGGTCAAAATAAAATCGACTAGTCCATTTTTCTCACTGTTTCTTAGTCGCTTTAATATATGAAAATTGCAAGCGATGACTATTGACCAAGAATGATGCTTCATGCTTCTCCTACTCCTAGGGCTGTAACCAGGGCAGCAGAAGCCGCAGTCGACGACCCCGAGGAGGTTGCTTCGACGGTCCTGACGTAAGTCATCCTGATTTCTATATCCTACGCTGTCAATTCTCTCGAATAGAAAGTTGAGGAATTCTAAATGAATGCAGCTTTGTTGGATATAAACTTTTGTTGTTTGCTGTTTTCCTGTTGTTCTTTTTGCATGTCAAAATCTCGTCTTCCTGCTATTTAATTATAATAACTGCGGCATCAACGTTGAGGGTAACCCCATCATTTCCTGGAGTCCCACGGCCAGAATACGTCACCTGCAGTTGCATCTTTTCTTGTTCATGATAGGATTGATTTCATTGACGCCTTCGACATGTTCAATTGCATTTTAATGATCACAGACAGACTAGATGCACTGTTTTCGGTTCTTCATTTCAATTTTACCTTCGTTTCTTTGGTACCGAATGGGATCACGTGCGCCATGCACTCTTTGCGCTCGCTCTACCTGCGGAGACTTCGATTGTTTCGATGATAGAAGAATACCTTTCTCCCTTGGAGTGGTCGCCATCACCTTGTTTCATCTAATTAGTACAACAAGCCTGTTAAAGACATGCTTCTCCTTGACGTTGTACTTCCTACACCCGCATTAATTCCTCACATGAACGGTTTGCTCCACAGGTCTAGTGGACCAGTGAAACTTGCATCTGAGATGCTATCCTTTCCCATCCCTGTAGGTGACTGGTCCATAAATTCCTCAAAATTGATGGCCTATGGATTTACTTATGGTGTTTTGTTCTGCCAATTCATCGAGCATCTTTGCTACATAGCCTTAGCAACGGACGGAGAGTCCACTCTTTTCATGAGGAAATGCTAACGATTCGGTATGACAAACTTCTTTCGTCAGGACCATAATCAACAGCACGGCTCGCAGATCTCTTGGTTATCTGTCGTGCGGTTCAGGCAACCCGATCGACGACTGCTGGCGGTGCGACCCTGATTGGCATGTCAACAGAAAAAAGCTCGCTGACTGCGGCATTGGCTTTGGCCGCAACGCGATAGGTGGCCGCGACGGGGAGTTGTACGTTGTGACAGACTCCGGGGACGATGATCCCGTGAATCCTCGCCCGGGAACACTTAGATACGCCGTCATCCAGGACGTGCCCCTCTGGATCACCTTTAAACACGACATGGAGATCACGCTCAAGGAGGAACTCATTATGAACAGCTTTAAGACGATCGATGGACGCGGTGTCAACGTCCACATTGCCAATGGCGCCTGCATCACCATCCAGTACATCACCAACGTCATCATCCATGGCCTCCACATCCACGACTGCAAGCCCACCGGGAATGCCATGGTCCGCAGCTCTCCTTCTCACTATGGATGGAGAACCATGGCTGATGGGGATGCCGTTTCCATTTTCGGCTCCAGCCACATTTGGGTGGACCACTGCTCTCTGTCCAACTGCGCCGATGGACTTGTCGATGCCGTCATGGGCTCCACTGCCATTACGGTCTCCAACAATTACTTCACCCACCACAATGAGGTATCCCTTTCTTGCATTGCTCCAGTCGAACGTCGGTTATTCGATTTTATTCTGTAGCACCAAAAGAGTGTTGAATAAGGGACGAATTCGACAGGAAGTGCTATTTCATATATCATGCGTTCTATTTGTCCAGTGCAAGACATGTTAAAAACAAGAAAATATGCTGCTACCAAATGTTACTTTCTAAATATGACTACTGTACATCTAGCCACCTTATTTCAGTGCTCTTTCTTTGATGATTGAGATTGCCTATTATGACAGGCACCAAGGAGCATTCGCCAAAGAATTGATTTCTATTTTCTTAACTGCAATTGGCATTTAGCACGGGAGAACAAAAAAGATTTGCTTGATTGACATTGATGATTTATCTAAATTCTGAAAATTTGTCTTGTGTGAGCATTATTGGCCGAATTGATGCAGGTCATGCTTTTGGGACACACTGATTCTTATGCAAGGGACAGCATCATGCAAGTAACGATCGCATTTAATCATTTTGGTGAAGGCCTGATTCAGAGAATGCCCAGGTAACTTTCGGAAATCCACAACGATGGAATATATATTGTCCAACTCTTTTGATCCGCTTAGGAAAACGGAACAAATTAACATATTGTCCGAGAAGTTGAAAGTAATAAATAATCTCCACAATGACTATGTTGCTTGAGATTTCAGGTGCAGGCATGGCTACTTCCACGTGGTAAACAATGACTACACGCACTGGGAGATGTACGCCATTGGCGGGAGCGCGAATCCAACGATCAACAGTCAAGGCAACCGATACCTTGCGCCGACCAATCCATTTGCAAAGGAGGTACAAGAAGCAACCTACAACAGCTCCGTCCATCCTCCCTCTTTTGTGCACCATTTATAAGAATTTTCCTTCCATCGCGACTTCTAATAATCCCTATGCTTCGATTGAATAGGTAACAAAAAGGGTGGACACAGATCAAAGCACGTGGAAGAACTGGAATTGGAGGTCGGAGGGTGACCTGCTTCTGAATGGTGCTTTTTTCACCCCTTCCGGTGCAGGGGCTTCAGCCAGCTACGCACGGGCCTCCAGCTTTGGGGCCAAGCCCTCTTCCTTGGTTGACACACTGACTTCTGATGCTGGGGTCCTGTCTTGCCAAGTCGGCACTCGATGTTAACGTAATGCCAAGTGGCAGAACGCCACAACCCGAAGGATGGGAAATTGTACTTGACGGTGTTACAAATTTCTATGTTACACCGTCAGAAATGTCATTTCCTCCAATTGCCCAACCTCCGCCTGCCTCCATATGTGGAGCGCATGCGGAAGCGTTGTCAGTTTCTTTTATTCTACTTTGCCGTTTTAGCTCGGTTACACCGTCCATCTAGCAATAAGTGGGTTTATAGATAGACTTCATCCTCCTGGTGGCGTGTCGTCACAGTTGAATTTGCTACAATGCAGCAGAATTTTATATAGTTGCAATTTAGTCTTTTGCCCGTTATCCTTGTACCTTAAGCGTGGTCATTGTATTGGTAGGAATGGATTTTGTCATCTTAAAGATTGTATTACGTATGGTCTCTCCTCATAAGACTGACTATGGTTCTTAAATAGCAAACCTGGAAGTATCCATCTTTGCCTGATACCCAATCTATCTGTTTCTCTTTGTCTTCTCTCAGAATACAATGGTTTAACTGCACAATGGATGATTTAGCTTATTCCAGATCTTAGAGGAGATAATTTTCCTTTCTATATGTTGGTTGCTTTCACCAGTTTCTGATTATTATTAGTATTATAACAAAAAGGAATGGACCCCATCCCACAAAATCATTGGAGTTGATCTTGATTTGAAATGATTTTATTCATATATCAATTTGTTGATACGTACTATTCGAACCTATTGATTTTTAATATCATAAGTGGAAAAACAATTCGTTACCTCATTTAATTGGAATTCCCAAGTATTAATAAATACATTCTATTTCCATGTCATTTTTAGGAGATGCCAAAAATGCTGCCATCATATATGGCACTTTTCCTAAACAATAACTAGTCGCTCTAATCTGACACGTAGACAACTATATCCCACCCACCCCCGTCCATTAGTGCCAACGTCACAAGTGACGTTTTACGTCGTCTCAAGTTAACATCCAGAATCGGACGGCTGGATCTTCTCGCTATCGGATCGATCGAAGGGTTGATATGGAATTCGTCATTGCCGTGCTTCCGTCCGCATAGATTCTTATATACGACCTCTTACGCGTGTGGCTACTCCAATATAATTGTCCGGAGACGCCTCCGTTGGAATGGCGTGAACGCTTCTTTCTTCCCGGTGCTGCAAAAGAAATATCTCTGGAGAGAGAGGAGAGAGAGAGAAAGGGGGGAAAGCGATCTGCATCGGATCACATGGAGAAGGCGATCGATCGGCAGCGGGTCCTCCTTCGACACCTCCGACCCTCCCCTTCTTCGTCCCCGAATGGTTCGCATTTGATCTCGGTAATCGCTTCTCACCCTGTCTTTTCCGTCACGGTGGTGGATGGATCAGTTAGTGTTTCGTTTCCTGTATCGTGATTCATCGCGTCGGAGGGTTTTTTTATTATTATTATTTTTTTATGTGTTGGGGTGCTTCCTTTGTTGATTTGGTTCGATCATATTGGACGTGTTCCATTTCTGTTATGGTATAAAACAGCCAGTTCACCATTTCCCCCCTTTTAAATTCTCGACGACAGGCTTCTGTTTGTGCCGCTGGGGACAGTGCGGCTTATCAGAGGAATTCCTGCTTCGGCGATGACGTCGTGGTTGTCGCGTAAGTTCTTTCTCATATGTAAATTTAATTTTGTTTTGTTTGAGTCGTGATTAATCGTCAGAATTCTAATTCCCTCAATTCGTATTTGATATATGGAAGGAGATTGTAGTATTTGTTAGGGAGGAAAAGTGAGATCGTAAACCAATAGAAATTTGCAAGGTAATCGTGAAATTTGGACATATCGATTATTTGTTGTCCAAAATAATTGTACTTCTTTTTGAAAGAAGGTTGTCGTTTTCTAGAATGTAATTGTTAAATTTTGACAATGATTTATTGCCAAAAGAAAATACAAAAGGATTCTAAGGCAAATGAGTAAGTTACAGCGTAGATTTGTGTTCAATTATTATGATGCACCTAAGTGTTTTGTTACTCCACAGGATGTCATGATCGGCTGACATCATTGACCGCTTGTGGTAGTGATTATAATGGCCATGTTGCTTCTCAACTCATTTCAAGATGCTAATGAATTGAGAAAGTGTACTGCTGCTGGCTAAATTAGAAGGATGGTTTGGTCGTCAAGACCTTCCGTCAATGATTCAGTCGTCAAACAGAAAGTTTCTTTCTGTTTTCTTAATTTTACTCCTGTTGCCGTTTGAGTACTATTGTAGTGTGATCTTTCTTCCTACAAGCCACTAGAGCCTTCTTTCATTCTTGGTTTAGTATGTTGCTAGTTGTGATTTCCGATGGTTTATCACATCATATGTTGTTCGTTTATGTGTTCTGCTCCTATCCTGATTGTTCTCAATCCTACCACCATATGTTTTAGTGCTTATCGAACTGCAATTTGCAAGTCCAAGAGAGGGGGTTTCAAGGATACATATCCTGAGGAGCTGCTTACTGTTGTGCTGAAGGTCTGTTTTCCTCAGATTTGTGTTTGATAAGGTAGAGATTAAATAGTGGAGATAATCTCAAAAAGATCTTTTTCTCATATAGGCATTGTTGGATAAGACGAACCTAAACCCAAATGAAGTGGGTGATATTGTGGTCGGTACTGTGTTGGCACCAGGCGCCCAAAGAGCAACTGAATGCAGGATGGCAGCATTCTATGCTGGTTTTCCTGGTACCTAGGCTTCCTGCTTTCTTATTCATGTTGGTGTTTTATGTACAGTTTTGTTACATCATACAACATAAAATTTTCCCCACAGAAACTGTTCCAGTCAGAACTGTCAACAGGCAGTGCTCGTCAGGCCTTCAGGCAGTTGCTGATGTTGCTGCTGCTATTAAATCTGGATTCTATGATATCGGTGAGGTCCTTTTGGTTTCCTTGCCTTTGTGCTGGAGCGATAATCGTCTCCTAATCTTTTCTTTTTCCCTTTGCCAAAACAGGAATCGGTGCTGGGTTAGAATCTATGACCACAAATTCAATGTCGTGGGACGGTTCAATAAATCCAAAAGTATGCTTTTGGAATCTTGTTTAGTTTTCCATAAGATAGTTTTTGCATTCTTTTTCTGACTGCAGAGTTTTTCTGAGTGATTCAGGTAAATGCATTTCAGCAAGCCCAAAATTGTCTACTTCCCATGGGAATTACCTCTGAGAATGTTGCACATCGCTATGGTGTGACTAGACAAGAGCAAGACCAGGCTGCTGTGCGTCTGTGGCCATTGATTATACTGGTCTTTCGATGCTTTTTATTGTCTTAAAGTACTTTTCTTCTTTGGTCAGGTTAATTCTCATAGGAAGGCAGCTGCAGCAACTGCTGCCGGTAAATTTAAAGAAGAAATCATACCAGTTACCACAAAGGTGACTGATCCTATCACGATACGTTTTCTTTTTCGTTTTTGCTTCCTTTAGCAATTTAATATCATTTGGCCTCGAGTCAGTCAGTAGCAATAGTATCACCCAACATATACCACAAGAAAGTAACCATCATTGGCCCAAAATTAAAGCTTATGCACCTATTGCTCCCTAATTCTTGGTTCTGATGATATGATTAACTTTTTGAAGATTGTGGACCCAAAAACTGGTGAGGAAAAGCAGGTGACCATATCCGTGGATGATGGAATCCGGCCAGAAACTTCCATCTCTAGTTTGGCAAAGCTAAAACCAGTATTTAAGAAGGATGGAAGTACAACTGCTGGTATTAAAATTCTCTTTTATATGATGAATATGTTATCAGCTGGTTCTCTGTTGGCAGTCATTTGTATGTGACACTTTATTGTAGGCAATTCTAGTCAGGTAAGTGATGGTGCTGGAGCAGTCCTCTTGATGAGGAGAGACGTAGCAATGCAAAATGGATTTCCTATCCTTGGTGTATTCAGGTTAAATTTTGTATATTTCGTTGAATATTAAATCTATTCTTGTACTAATATAAATCATGTCTGTTTGAATCTAATAGCTTGAGGTCCTTGCTTCACTTGCTTGAACTTACTTTATGAATGCATATGCATCATGCTCATGTACACAAAAAATTAAATAAATAAACAAGAAGGGGGATAGGTGTTACGTCTTTCCTGCCCTTTTTTATCTTTTCTGCAAACCTTTCTTGCCAAAAGTTGGCTTTTGGATAGGCTTTTAGGGGGTGTGAATGGGCCAGTCTCTATCTGCTGTGAGCTGACTCAAAGAAATAGTGGTTAGCAATTTCAAGGGTCATCATGTTGGATTCTGATTGGTGATTTAGCCGGTAAGGTTTTTTTGGGCTAGAAACCGATCAACTCTTTTAGCTTGTGGCTTTATAACTGATTTGAGTTTGAAGTGGCATATATCTAAATATCATGTTCTCATTAGTCTTTCTTCCCAAACAAGTAATCCTTCCATGTAGCACCGATATCAACCAAGGACTCAGATCAGTCAGCCCAACCTGAGCTTTGTTCTCTATGGTTGGGCCAAGTTTTGGTCTAATCTTCATGATGGTTCAGTCTAGGTCTGAGTATAGTGAAGGTTTCAGTTTTGTGGATCTGATCATTGTTGACCTGACAGCAACCTGGCCCATTCCATATGCTTAAGTTTGTTTTTCTGGTACATTGATTTTTTGCAGTGAAGCTTTAAGCTGCTTACCATAATCAACCTTATGTAAATTTGTCTATTTAACTCGAGCGCCGAGAGTGATTCATCTTGTTTGTTTTGCAAGTTAGCACCGATATGATCACAACTACTTAAATCCCTTTTGGACACTATATTGTTGTAGCAGCTTATTGCTTTGATGAGCTTACATTATACAATGAAAAGGACCATTTCCTATCCTATCCTACATATTTGTTCATGTTACATCAAAGCCTGTCCTCGACAGAAGTTTTTACTTAATGTAACCAAATATAACCAATACAGATGGTTCATATTTGGTGGTATGAAATGATTGTAAACATATTCTTAAACTACAGCAGAACAAGACCATGCCAATGAAAAAACTGTTATGGGTGAATAAGATAGTTAAGTTCAATCTTTTCAGCAGTCACAACTGCTCATTCGACCACCCTTATCATCGTTTTGATTGGCCTAAACTGTTTGTTTTTAACTTAACCTTCGTAAGGCTTGTGTTATACATTTTATCATGGTCATTGATATCTGTGGTGATCTTTTTTATTCTGAAGAGAGAATAATTTTCCAAGATGATCCATTAGTTATATTGACTTGATAACTTCAGGAGTTTTGCTGCGGTTGGCGTGGACCCTGCTGTCATGGGTGTCGGTCCGGCTGTAGCAATTCCAGCTGCAGTAAAATCTGCTGGTCTTCAGATTGAAGACATCGATCTGTTTGAAATTAATGAGGTTATATAAATTTTGTATTTCGATAACTGTCTTTGGTAACATGCAGTTATATTATTGCATGTCTTGGTATTTGTTGTTGCTTCTGTGTAGGCTTTTGCCTCTCAATTTGTATATTGTTGCAAGAAGCTGGAGCTGGATGCGACAAAAGTAAATGTTAATGGTGGCGCTATCGCTCTTGGTCACCCCTTGGGTGCAACAGGTATTTGCCACCATTTATTTCTTTATTGCAGGAACTACCAAACATCTTTCTTCGATGTGCATCTGTTCTGGGTGCATGTGATCAATGCGGGAGGAGGTTGATATTTTATGATTGACAAATATCCTATTCAACGAGGAGTGTTTACCATTCATCTCTTAGCATCCTTGTTTTCTTGTCATCTTAGAATCAAAATAGTTCAGCAAAGCCCTGTTTATTGGGTACGATGACCTTTTAGTATATGGGTTCATTAGATGGTAACCCATTATCTCTTACTAACTGCAGTTGCGATTAAGATATTTTCTTATATAAAATCACCATCGATCATAGATGGTTCGATGTGATCGGTACGGAGGATTTGGGAAATCAAATGCGAGTACGTCTTACGAGATTACAGATTTTTCCCTTTCTCTTTCATGCCTTTTCATTAATTAGCATGATTTTTTTTAGTCATGATATTACGAATAACTTCAAATAGTTGGATTAAATTCCACTGGGGCATTATCTTAAGATAGAGGATATTTTGTTGTCTTCTCTATTATCTTTGGTATCTTTTCCTTCTATCTTCAAATATTGAAGAGTTCTGATTCACTTGAACCTTAAGATGATCGAGGAAATTCTGCTCTTGGCTGATGATGGACGTCATATGTGATTGCTTCTCTGTTCATTGCAGGTGCTCGCAGTGTGAGCACTCTCCTAAATGAAATGAAACGAAGGGGCAAAGATTGCCGATTAGGGGTCATCTCGATGTGCATAGGTCTGTCCATCCTCTCTTACCGCCCATTGTCTCTTCCTCTGATTTGCTGTTCCTTCCTGACCAATTTTTGTATGGTATGTGCAGGCACAGGGATGGGTGCTGCCGCCGTCTTCGAAAGAGGGGACGCAACCGATGGACTCACCAATGCACGGAGAATGCAGTCTCACAACCTGTTATCGAAGGATGCCATGTAAGTGTGTGTGTTACATTAAACTCAGTCTATTTCATGGCATTATTACCAACAAACCAATTATACGTTGATTGATCATTGCAGATCGTAAACTGTTGGTTCTCGTGAGCCATGAGCACTGGTCATATGGGACCAAATTATATATGCCCCGACGATAAGCTACGTAGCTTAAATGCAGTATCCGATTTGATTTCGAAACGACTATGCCTCTGTTAGATGGTTCGGTTCTTTATTGTAATTCTCAATCTCCTGGTTTCTGGTGTTTGCTACATTTTGAATCCAACTGCTGCTCTCACCAAACAATGTGTTGTTTCTTTCATCAAATAATAATAGTGGCTGAGTAAGTGTTGATCCCAAAGCTGTCGGGAGAAATCCAAGGAAATTTAGATGAACTCATGTAACAAATCTTTGCAACCTTCTGTGGTGTTATTGCACCGTTTATTGACACAGAATCAAACGACGACTTATTCAGATTAGAGAACAACATCAAGGAAAACAAACAGTAATAGAAGCAAAGCCTCCCAATCCGACAACATCCATTCCGTACAGTACGGCGAACGCAGCTCAAAGAAGTGATGCTTCGTGACATGTTATTCTATAGCCTTGCAGATATCTCTCGTCTCTGACGGCGATCAGCCGCGGCCTTCAGATGCCGCCTCAGGATCTTCCCTGACGGAGATCTTGGGATGAACTCCACGAAAGCCACTTTCCTAATCTTCTTATAAGGAGCCACCTATACAAACACAAATTCAAAAATATAAACCATTTTCTCTCTTCTCAATCATAATAGTCCTTATTGCCAAGAATCTATTACGGATTTGCTTAGGTTAATATATGCATGAGGTCAAACAAAAACTTGAGTTATCATGTTGTAGGTAAAATCTAGTATATGTAAGTGGGTTCTTTCGATCCTTATCCTTAGAGGGGGGGGGGTATGAGACTATCCTCCCTATTCATATATGAATATTTCCAACAGCATTTGCTATCTTCGTTTTCTATTATTTGGTTGGATAGGAAGATGACAGTGTTCTAATCTCTGTGTATGGGAATATTAAAAGTCTGCCCTCTACCTTGTTGTCCATGAAAGCGAAGATATCATCTTCCTCCACATTGCTGCCCGGCTTTCTGACAACACATGCCACAGGGATCTCTCCTGCCTCTTCATCAGGGTACCTGCTATCAAAGTTGGAGCTTTCACACACCCAATCATGGGAATAGCAGTGCCATTACCCTTTCAGAAACAACACTAGATACCGACACAAGTGAATGCAGTCCATTTCTAACTAGAATTGTGTGGTGCCATTTTACCAAATATCTATCGAAATGGTCACTGTCATACATGTATACTAGTATTTTAATATTTGACATGCACTAGACTCTTCTCCTGTGTTCTCTTTTCATCGCTAAGCTGTTCTGCCGAGTGTGTTTTCTTCCTCTTTATCTTTTCCCTTTTACAAGAGAAAAAGTGCTCGATCAAGTTATAGTTTCCCACAGTCATATTAGATCAGTGACCAAATCGATTAACGCCATCACAATAAAACTAAGCAGTCCTTTTACTCACGAAGTGACAGCAACATCCATGACATCAGGATGCGTAGAAAGAACCTCTTCAAGCTCCGCCGGAGATACCTGCAATGCCCCAAGCAAGCATCGGCTGAAACTGGCAAATCGAGTGCTCGTCATCGAAAGCTGAGCAAAAGAGAACCTGGTAAGCTTTGTATTTTATGAGCTCTTTGATCCTGTCGACGACGTAGACCAACCCACGCTTGTCGATGTAGCACAAGTCGCCGGTGTGCAGCCACCCTTCTCGGTCGATGGCAAGAGATGTGGCTTCCTCGTTCTTCATGTAGCCTAGGGATAGATACCCCACACCAGGATTCCAGGGTTCAGATGAAGACACCACCACCTCTGTGGAATGCTATTAATTCGCTCTCCCGCAAGTGTGCATGCATGCAATGGGTGCGTCACGTACCTTGCATGACGAGAGGCCCCCTGACGCACAGTTCGCCACGTCGATACGGTGGAAGAGCTTTTCCTGTACGCACGTCAGCAATCCTGGCTTCCATTGTCGGGATCAACCTTCCGATGGAGACGTGGAATCGGCCTCTGACCCCATCACACACAGTTATGGGGCCACTGGTTTCGGTTAATCCATAGCACTGCACCAAATATTGTTATGTCTAAGAAGAACCTCCTCCCCATGCGCATGCCAAGCAAATGTGCATAGCAGTAGTAATGTAGCCGATTTGAGCAAATGACTGTTAAAAGAAAACGGTACTCGATAAGCTTAATAATCTATCTACATGTGTTCATGGCAAAACCATTAACATCTGAAGCACAATAATAATTATAATGATCCCACGATTGAGGAGTCGGCTTTGCAAATGTTGACTTCTTGGCTTTCGATTTGGACTATGGAGCAGAGACAGGCACTTAAATCACAAAGCGAAGTAGAGAAAGTGGTCAAATTAATTCTTGTCAGTTTCTGGGAATTAAGTTTGGGCCTGACACACCAGAATTGAGCTAGCTTACTACCCTTGCCGTCGGATCTTATTTGAACGGCCACCGTTCACCAAAACCCGATTGTAAAAGCACACGCAGTGGAGCGGCTCGCATTGCGTTCCACGTGAGAATTTAATTCCTTTTTCGGATCGGAGACGTTGGATGTAATCCCAGTCGTCCATCTTGAGAACACGCCGTTATTTAGTTGTTGTAATTTGAGGATGACCATTCGATCGTGATCCGACGGTCAGCATAGGAGCAATGCGTAAGGAAGGACGTGTGACTCACCTGAGAGACAGTGGTGCCGGGGAAGCACTCGACGAAGCGCTCCAACTGCTCCCTGGCGATGGGCGCGCCGGAGCAGATGACCTCCTTCAGCGACCGCAGACCACGTCCGCCGGCCAAACCCGCGCGGCACGACCGCGCCATCTGCACCACCACAGGGGGCACCGCGGGGAGCCGCGTCACTCGGTGTTGCTCCACCGCCGTCAGCAGCTCCCCCACCGCATACCGCCGGAGCACCACCGTGGTGGCCCCCGACGCCAGCGTCCCGCACACCAGCACCGAGAACCCGAACATGTGCGACAGCGGCACCACGCACGCGTACACATCATCGCGCCGCGCTTCGCCCCCCCACACGTGCCGCAGCAGGCTCGCCGTGGCAGTCAGGTTCCCGTGGGTGCTCACCACCCCCTTGCTCTTCCCCGTCGTCCCCGACGAGTACATCACCGTCGCCGGGTGGCCGGGGCCCACGTCCACGTCGGGTAAGGGCGGGTCAACTTCGCGGGGCAGGGAGGCGAGGAAGGGCTCGATCGGGATCAGGGGGCGACCGGGGAGGATGCCGTCGAGCTTGGGGAGGAGCTCGACGGCGGCGATGATGAGGACGGGCTCGGAGTCGCGTACCTGCGTCTGGAGCTCTAAGTGGGTGAGGAGGGGGTTGGCTGTGGAGAGGACGGCGCCGAGGGAGAGGACGGCGAGGGCGAGGACGGGGTAGTGGATGGAGTTAGGGGAGACGAGGAGGGCGAGGTCCCCGCGGCGTAGGCCAGCGGAGGAGAGTGCGGAGGCGGCGGCGGCGGTGAGTGAGTGGAGCTCGGCGTAGGAGAGGGAGTCGCCGGAGACGGCGTCGACGAAGGCCGGCTTGGTGGGGGGAGCCGGGGTGGAGAGGAGGAGGAAGTGGGGGAGGGAAACGCATGGGAGATGAAGAGGAGGAGGGGGAACCAAAGGACTGCGATAGATGCCGGTGGTAGAGCAGTAGCCGCTCTCACCTGAAACGGAGTCCATCTCCTTCCTTGGTCTTTATCTCAATACGTGAGAGAGAGAGAGAGAGAGAGAGAGAGAGAGAGGT